TTTGCTTCGGGCTTTGCTTCGGGGTTTGCTTCGGGGGTTTGCTTCGGGGCTTGCTTCGCCTAATCCCCACATCCCTAGTAATCTTAGGTTGGGGGCGCGTCAAAAACGGAAACATCCTATATCGACTCACCATAGCCCCTATGTAATCCTTATATTTTCCCATTTGGTTCTAGGGGATCTAAGCTTGAGATCCCTTTGGGGATCTGGGTTCTGCTTGAGCTTCTGCTCGACGAGCTCGGCCTGTCAAAAGTTCGCATGAGGAATACGTGGGGACTTCCCAAGATTAGGGGTACCGAAATGGTCTATAATGGTTCTATAGGAGTTACATTGGGTTTAGGGTTTAGGGATATAATGGGATGATAGAGGGATATGTAGGGGTAATGGAAAATGGAAGCTACTATTTAAGGTTCAGACTTTTAGGGGAGTTTCCCAAAAATAGGGGTACCTTTTTGGGGGGCCCCCCTATTTAAGGAGACTAGAATATCGGGATGACATGTGGATATGACCGCAGTCATGGAGGCCCGGGTTCTTAATAAACATTCTGGGTAGACCACAATCAGTAGGCAGGGAAGCCCGCGTGGTTTCGTTGCGGTTTGGCTATGTCTCATATCTGCTGCATGATAGCAAAAACAGCCGAAAGCCAAGATGTTTTGGAGGAGCCTTATGGAGCGATCTGAAAGGCCGAGTTCCTCCTTGGTCCCCAGGCTAGATCCTGGTCGGTACGCATTTGTCAAGAAATTGCCTTCGAGCCGCCTGTACCAATACAGGACTCAAGTCCTCTTTTGGTGCCCAAAAGTTGCAAGTGTAGGCACAACTCCCAAACCTCTCAGATGCAGATTGTTCTCGGAGCCTGCTGCGTGGAGAGGATGAGGGCACCATCCCCAGCACAAACGCGCGAGACCAGACTTGTACCTCGGGCTATCAGAAAACCAAGCACGAAAATCATGTTACCTAATCCCGCATGGAGCTTGTAGTTTCCATATTCCTTTCAGAAAGCTTTTGAATGAGGCACTCCTACCTACTTTGAATAGAAAATCATGAAACATGTCGAAAACACCAGTTCTGGCTGGAAAAAACAGGTCCCCGCGCCGACGCACTCTCCATCTTTACCATTATCCCCATATTATCCTTGTATAACCCCCATATTATATTGGGGGTTCTACTATCAAGATCATCCCTGTGGTTCTGCTGTCACAGGGGCAGGCCCACGGCCTGCGAAGCCTACATCGAATCAGCGCTTTGTGCCCAGCCTCCCAGATCTAGGTAAGCGTAATCGTGCGCGGCTCTTGTTCTCCATGTTTTGGCGCTTGTCACCTGGCGCGGGGAGCCGGTTTTAGGGTCAAGGGTAAGGCTCAGATGAGCAATGCTGAGCTCGAACAGCATTGCTCAGCCAGCAATGTCCGGACAAAACCTGTACATTGGTACATGGGTGGTTGTCAAAATTATGGTCCCTTGTTGGGTCCCTAGTATAATACGGCACCTAATATTTAGCGTACCCAAAAAGGGACCATAATTCTGACAACCACCCACATGGGCTTCCGTACGGCTAGATGGTCAGCCTGCAGCAGCTTCCGAGCAGTTATACAGACCAGAACTCCCCAACTAGGCTATCTGCCTTCTTCCGGTCAGTGCATCTGGGCTGTAAGGCTCTATGAAGTGTACTGGCGGGGATCTGGGAACATCAGTTCTTTGCGCAGTACAGTCGTTGAAGTTTAAAGCATGTGGCCGAACAGACGCTTTGCCGAAGCCGTTACCAGTTACCAACCCCTTCCACAATCATGTTCAATACTTCTCATATTATATCCTACTACGGCACGGAGTTTTTTAAGGCAATCATCTCAGAGAGGGGAAGGGGTATCAAAAAGGTTTGATAGAACGGAAAGATCACACGAAACACGGGGACAACGAGGTCAGGTAGCCATTTCTGAGTTGAAGATTCTACTCTGTGTGTGATCCAGAACGAAATGTACAGTATACCCTGAAGCAAGGATCCGTCATGTGGGGAACCCGGGAAAACCAGCTCATGGTTCAACATTGCCATTTTGTTTCTCGGTGCTTAGGTGGGCGTCGGGGAGTGATTTTAGGAACTACGATAGGCGGGGATTTCTACGGACTATGATAGGAATCCATTCCCCACTCTCCAAGGAGCACAACTCAACTGGATCACAAACCCAATTAACTATACCCATGCGCGGGGACTTGTGGGGCTTCATATGCACAGTCTGCACAATTATAAGCAGGTTAGAACTACCCTGAACCTCCTACTAGGTCTGGGAGAGCTGACCTTGGTCTCAAAGGCATCCCCCATGAAGCTGTCGGACAGCAGCACGCCTGGACAAGGCGTTCAAGACCTATCCTCCCCGCCTGGACCTGTTTTCAGAGGACAAGGACAGTAGTCTTTGTAGGGGCTATTTGGGGGCTTCCATGTCGGGTCAGCTTTTGAGGCCTTCAAAACCTCCAGGCCCTTCTTGAGACGGTGCCCCAGGCCAACAAGAAGACGTAAGGATTGAAAGAGGATCTAGGAATCCCTGCAAAGGACTATATAGGGAGCAGTTTGAGAAAGAAACCCCAAAAAGGCTTTGTCAGTTGCCCCTCTGGCGGCGAGACGTTACTTGGGCTCTGAAAAGGGACGCCCTCAACAAAAACAATGCCCTAAGCTTCTCAGATTCAGTCATGATATTCATCCATATGGCAATTAAAGGAAGAGGGGCTGCTGAAACCCAAGCTCCTGCAGGACCCTAAGTACCTTCCAGCCGCGGAGGTATGGTACTTCAGGTTTACTAAGGTCATATATGACTTTTGCTAGGTAGAGACACTCAAGCAGCAACAGGCCTGAAAAAGCCACCTGCATGCCAAAGTTCAGCAAGACCTCACTGAACAATTCATGCATTGTTTATTGTTTGGTTCGAAGGCCCCAAATGTAGGTACAAGGCCCCAAATGTAGGTAATAGAAACAGTTCATACCCTGTGTACCCCTGCTTTTGGCTTCATGAGGCCCCAGCAGCCGTGTTTGACAACTTACTAAGTGGATGTGCTGCAGGGGCCACTGCGCGGTTGAGGGCCGAAATTGACAAATCTTAGGGGGAAGTAAGAAACACTTTCGCTATGTTTCAAAAGTAGACTCCCGATTTTGTGCCGTCTTTGTGACTGCCCAGTGCGCTAGCAGAGGACGATCTCTGAAGCATTTGGACCCCATAAATCAGGCGTGATCGAGGTGAAGCTCAAAAGCGATTACTTCGGCGCACTTAGCCTACACCTGGTTGGGGCAAACCGAGTTTTGGCATTAGTCTGACTATCCCAAACGGGTTGGGTCTTAGCGTCAAGGTGTACCTGGACACGTTCCGTGCTTCGGGGTGCCTGTGAATCTCGTCATCTCAAGCGCTCAGCTCCCCCAACGCGCATTCAACTCTGGATTCCTCAAGAGCCTGCTTCTCCAACCGTGGAAGAACCTGGGTCAGTGGCTGACCTCCCGACACTGTCAAGTGTATGAGGCTGTTTGCCTGCTAGAGTTTCTGTTCTAGGAATCCTCGGAGAAGCATGTGTATGCATGCACCCCGTGAAGGTCCTAGGTAAACCAGGCCGAGACGTGTTAGGCTTCACCATGAACCCTGGCTCATGTTCAGCTGACAAAGCAGAAGGCAAGGTGCTAAAAGCATAGCGCTGGTGGCGTCGAACCATCCCACATCGGCTAGGCCTCGCTTTCCCAGCACGCCCCAAAATACATGTACCCTCCCCCAAAACGATTAGGCCCCCTATTTAGGCCCTCTGTACCTTTTTAGCCAGTTTTGGGCTCCATGTCGTTGGTTGGGGAAGGGTAGCGTTTCCTTTGCCCCCGCCCCTCCGCCTGACCCCTTGCCCTTGCCCAAGTTGACCGCCACACGGTGGGCCTTTGTTAAACAGTTCTTGGGTTCAGACACATGCCGGCTACCAGACTGGATGGATCTTGATGGGTAATATTGGGTCCCGATTACTGTAGTGTCTGAGTCTTAATTGTGCAAAACTTCGCCGAAATTATTCACCCCCCCCGTTTGGCGGGGCCTAAATGGTGCGAAGTTGCGCCGCCAAAAACAAAAAAACATAATTCTGAGCCAATCCTGAGCCCTCCTATTTAATTTCAATTAAACCCTAGGATCCTGAATTGACTTGAGTTTTAATTCCAACCGAAAAACCATGGATTGTTTGGGGTGTACCACCCCTCCATTCATTAGTGACTTTTTTTTTGGGTGGGGAGGCGCCCTACACTATCCAGGACCACACAATATTCCGATTGCTATGATACACAACCTCTTCCTAGAGCCAGCCCCAAACAAACTGCTTCTGAACGGAGAGTGGGGAAGTGAATGTAGTAAGTACCCAACTAGGGCTAGGGGTGTATATGGGGATTGTTATAGGGATCCGCTCCCAATCCTCTACACTCAGCCCTAAGCAATGTCCAGTGTGTTCCATTCATTTTCCACTGCCCTTATGCCTATCAACTTGTTGCAATCTGGTGGCCCAGAACCAAGGGAATGCTCCAGGCACCTGAGCGGGCTCATGGGTAGTTGAAAGGGGAAGCTTCTGTGGGGATGAGGCGGCTGTGGATGCGTGTACTTGGAGGTGTGCTAAATGATATACAGAACAATTCTTGAATCTTAACTTCTCTTGATACCTAAGCACCTAGATCCCTACAAACACCCCCCCCCCCTCTGCCCTTGATCGTTGAGCCAGGCACTCTCTTCGAAGCGAACCGGCGTCGACTTCTCCTCCAACCTTGCCGCTTGACTGACTGGTGGCTAGTATGGAATGAGAGAATGGAAGAACATGAATAGCAATAACAACCCAATGATAATAATAGTACTGACAGTAACAATAACATTAATAATGTGGAGACTACCAAAGGGCATCAGGGACGGTTTGGGATGCAAGGTTTAGAGTATCAGGGTTGAGGACACAGGATCTATGGCTTAGGGTATCAGTTCAGGATCTCGAGCTACTAAGTTACAAGGCTTGAGTTCAGGTGTCGCAGCTTAGGGGAACCTAAATCCTAAACCCTACCGCGGCTCAGGGTTCGGGCTTGGGATTTAGGTTGAGGCTTAACGTTGAAGGGTTACGGCTCCAGGTTACGGTTTAGGATGCTTAGGGTGTGGGGCGGTTTGTTTGGCGTTGAGGGCTTCCAACACGCGTTGCACACAGCAGGCGACGAAACATCCAGCTTGAGATAGTCTTTGTTGATACTACAAATCCTGCATTACCTTAGTATACTATAGCACCATAATTTCCAAGGTATAGCGGACTTAGTGTCATGCAGGTTAGCATCCACGGTAGTACGCTAATGGACGGAACGTTGCACCACTCAGCGACCTCAATCATACTCCAGTCCAAGGACCCTGGATGGTGCAAGATTCAGCGCTATGAAAGCAAAACAGATGCTCGCACTATAGGATCTTGATCTTGCGAAGGCCTTCTAGACCAGAGGTTAGGAGGACCCTCCCAACCTATAATAGTGACGATCAGACATAATTAAGCCTAGGAGTATACTAAGGTCCTATTATATTCCTTTTATACCACTATTACAGGGCCTCCTACCGCAGACCTAAACCCTAAACCCTGTATGCTGCATATGGCTCCTTCAGAAGCTGCCTCAGATTACAGGGTGGAGGGCTCCTAAACTAGAGGAACGATTTCGGCAAGTGTTCAAGCGCACATACGCAGAGATCAAGGCAAAGTCGGGTTTAGGGTTTAGGGATTGCGGTTTAGGGGTTAGGGATTGCGGTTTAGGGATTTCCGATTCTATCTATACGGATATGTGCCAAGATTGCCACAGATTTCAGAAAGCAGGCCAGGTTGAAAGCATTCTGGCCTAGGCCCTTTCTCGTGCTGACACTTCTAATTAAGCCCCAAACCATACACCTAGAGCCTGGAACTCAAACCCATAAGCCCTAAACCTAAACCCTAGAGATCCAAATCGTAGCCTAATGTAGGTAATATCTATAGAATTTGAAGGGCCCAATTTAGGTGCTACTTGTATACTTGGATCCCTAGGGAGAGCACTTGGCCCTGAAACCGGCCTCGCGGTAGTAGAGCTGCGCACAGCTGCAGTTTCATCTTGCGAGCCTTCAGCATCTAAGGTTAAAACCATGGGCCCCTAGTATGGGCCCTTAAGCCTGGGATCCTTATATGCCTGCTGCATACCAGGAGCCCATACTTCTAACCTTAGAAATAAGGGTTTCAGCACAGGGTTTAGGAGTTGGGGATGCAAGCGTGGGAGTTCAGGTTTGAGGCATAGGAGCCTTCTGTCTGTAATTCAGCTCTGGAGCTTATTGCAGTCAATGCGCCCTTCACTTGCCAATGGACATGGGAATATGCCAGGATAACTTTTAATTTTCTGATGGCGATGTCTCAATGAGTCGACCATTTAGTGAGGTCACTCGGCCCACAGTCAACATCCAAACCCTGTCCTGACTTTAGCCAACTATCTGAAGGCCTACTTGAGAACTTCTCAGGCAAGACATCTACAGGCCCCAAAGGGTTGCTTGTTGTTTCAAAAATTTGCCCAGCACATACATATACCTGTACATACCCTTTTTGGCCGTCCTCTTAAACAAACCATAGCAAGTTGATCTGCGCTCATCTCTCTTGGAAGGTAAAGGCGAAGCGATCTTGTGGCGCCGAGCAGCTTCTCTCAACCTGCCAGGCAGGACTCTAGGGTTTAGGGTTTAGGGTTTAGGATTAGCTGACAAGCTGACAACATCCCATTCAGGGAGTTGAGGCCAAGAGCTTCGGGATCCTGTAAAGTGGGCAGGGAACCCTAAATCTAAAGCTTAAAACGAACCTAAACCTCAACTCTAAACCTCAGCGCACAAAGATGAAGACCAAAGCGACGGCATTTGCTAAGCCCCTCCACTAAGAACCCCCACCCAAGCCCGATCTCTGTTATTAGGTGGGGGAGGGATCATTCCCTAGAAGCCCAGGTACCCAAAAAGTAGGTCCTTGGGTTATAGATACTATAAATCTATATAGAGACTTAAGGACAGGAACCCAATATATAGGTAACTGGGCTTCTAGGGATTCTTAGGCGGAAGCGACTACAAAGTTGTCTGCCTTCATCGGGGAAGTACTGCTCACTGCTCCGAAAGTGCCAGAAGAAGCCAGGGGAGCGCGTGAAGCTGAGATCCCCAGCTGAGTCCTGGGCTGATCCCTGAGAACTTTGCAAGGGAACACCCCACACCAAACACCACAAAATCCCAGCTAGGCCCAGTTCAGAAGAGCACCAGGCGCCTTCATGTTGGTTTTGGGGAGGGCAAACGACAAGAGAAGATACAAGGGCATCAAAAGCTTTCTATTTCCGGGAACATGGAAGCCTAAAGCGAAATTCTACAGATGTCAGCGCGCCTTCCGGAAGCAAGGCATCAAGTGTTCAGTTAGTTTGGGCTGGAACAGGAGCATCTCAAGCTTGGAAAACCCTATCAACACTGGAAGCGAGCAATTCTTCCAACCAAACCCAGCAGAAAACCAAGTTAGACAGGTACGCAAGCCCCTTTGGCCACCTCAAGACTGCAAGGAGAACCCGAAACACCGAGCACATGCCATGAAACCCCAACCCCTCCTGAAAGGTCTGAAAAACATCCGCCTGAAGCCACAATAGCATTGAAATCGGTGGGGAGCCCACCTTCTGCAGGGCTCAAAGCAGAAAACGCCAAGCCTGAAACCGTAAACCCGTCTAAAGCCTCAAACCCCAAAACCATCCTCCACCCGAAGCCATCCCAAGCAGTAACCATCTGAAACCTCAGGGCCTGAAGCCTAAACCACCATCCCAAGCCCCAAACTCGTTCCAAACCCCAAAGGGCCCATGAAGCTGAAAAAGGTTTACCCAGCGTCTCGACAGCCTGCAGCCTCCGAATGATGCCTTGCCTGAGTTGCTGTTAAGGAACTTAAATTAAATTACCATAATGGGTATATACAGTTAATAATAGGGTTCCCCAATATAGTAACTTAATTCAAGTTCCTTAACAGCAACCCAGTTGCATTTCCGCCAGCAGCTGGTCGCGAAAGACAGTTAGGCCTTCGACCTGACGATCTGTTGGGTTATCTGCTGAAGGTTTATAGGGTTGAGGGTTGTGTTCGATGCACGGCCTAGGGTTTCAGGGTAGAAGGTTTGGGGGTTGAGGAATTGTGTTAGGTTTTCAGTGTTTAGGATGTATGGCACTCGAAGTAGGGCTAGTCTCTCTACGAGATCCTCTTGGGACCTTTTGAATCTATAGAGGCTAAGTGAGGAGCTTGAGGGTCCAAATTACGGATTGCTCAATAGCGGATTGATTGTTGCGGCTTTTAACCCTAAACCCTAAATAGTAGTTGCCATTTTCTTTTCCATTATCCCAACAAAGCTCCAAAACCTTAAGTTCGCCTAAACGCATACCTGGACAGAACCCTGGACCAAGCAGCTCTGAAGGAGGCGAGTCGTCCCGTCTATTGGGTTCTGTCCCGCGAGAGTCAAGTCCGCATCCCCACTGAGCCCGAAACGTTCGCACGGGTTCCAAAAAACTAGGTGGGGATCCCTTAAAGTTTAAGAGGTAATATTGATAACATTATATTTGGGTCTCTATGGAAACTCAATATATATAATATATAATCCCATGGCCCGTAGACAATAATTTTGTTACTGCGGCTGTTCCCATTTGTAGGATATAGCAGCCAATATTTCAGTGCAACTTTGCTTTTCAACTGTTTCCTCGCTGGCTGGGCTCAATGCTTAGGCTGGGAAGTTCAGGCCGTCAAGCAGCCCGGCACCCTAAAACCCTAAACAGAAGCAAAGGCTTTGGGCTTGGGGGCTCATCCAGGCTTATGATGTATGCTTTGCAGGCCTGCATCAAGTCCATGAATACTGTCTGGCACATGCAGCGACTATGTCTGTACAGTAACACCCTAAACCCTGGCAACACAAAACCCCAAATCCTAACCCCTACACATTACTTGCGGCAGTCTGTCTAGAGCCAAGGTAATTTGCATCTGAACCCCCCCGAAGAACTTACAGCAAAGTACACATGGACATCCTTGTGGACGAAAAGGACCTTTGTTTTCGGAACGGGGCTTGCCTCCCGGACCCTTTTCATAAGCCCTAAACCTGAAACCGCTTTATGTCTGTTGCTGTTATGTTTCCCCGTCAAAAACCATCTCAAAGCAGATGGGACTGTGCGGATGGAACGTGGGAGTTTCTCAAAGCATTTCCTAACCCCCACGATCCCTTGAAATCCAACGGGTTTTCCGGATATCCCTTTTTTGAGAAAGAACTTCTCCTGCATAACCTAGCCCATGGACCTTACACAGCCTGATATACATCTAAACCCTACACCCCAGTCCCTAGACCTAAATCCCTACAAACTCTCAATCCCAATGAAACTTAGAGGCTCAGTCTTAGTCCTATATACCGCTAACGTAACCCAATTCCCCACCTCAGGTTGATTGCCAGCATCGCGCCCCAGTGAGGGCACGTCAATCCGGATGCTCTGAATGAGCTCGCTGGAAGCTTGGCTAGCCACATCATTCCTTGCTTGGGCTTTAGGATCTGGGGTCTAGGTTTAGGCGTTCAGGCACATGCATGTCACAGCAAGCGCGGAGTACGTAATAGATCCCAGTAGCACAGACTGCCGTGACCAAAACAGGCTTTACATAGGAGTACAGGATTTAAGGATTTGGGTAGAAGCCTCTGGAACACTCGGGAAGTGCCTCTGCCGGATTCGCAAAGCATCCATGAACGGAAGCCCCTGAAACTGGGCAGGCTATAACGAAGTACAGGTCTTATCTATAATGATAACACTTTTGAGAGTAGTGATTTTAATTCTGAGAGGCAGTAAGATATTACCCGCTTTCAGTTGGGCTTTCCCACCTGGAACCCTAGTCCCTATAAACTTCTACGTATCGCAATTTCTATTTCACATTCCATGTTCTTTCCCATTTTCTGGTCATAATGAGGCGGTAACACTCACAACCGCAAGCCACAAACCCACCCAGATTCGTATCCACGTCCAACTCGTTCGGCGGTGTGGAGGGAGTCGGCATTGGCCACGCTGGCCAGTAGAAGTTGCAAATGTGGCCGGGTAGGGGTTCTATGAGAGGGGGCACCCTCAATTAGAACCCAGTAATACGTATCCGAAAGTACCCCATTATAGAGCCTCAATATGGTTGAGAGTGGAGCCCTGAATTCTGGAAAGGCCAAAACACTTCGAATCCAATTCTTCATTATGTTCTCAGATAGAACCATTCCTAGGACAGGTGTCATGCCTCTGAACACAGCTGCCCAACTATGATGTGGCTAATCTCAGGGTCGTGACTTTTGTTGTTGGTGCGAATTACCATGCCCCAGGCATGCTGAGGGCCTGAGGGCTACAAGGAGAGACCAGACAAAGTCGACAAAATGGCAATGATTTTCTGTGGTTGGACATGCCACAGCCGGTGCAAGTCCAACATCCCTCTGTAGGAGTTGGGAAGCTTCGCACAAAATTTAGAATTTCCCAAGAAGCGGAAGGTTTAGGGTATAGGGAGGCTGAAAATAGTCCGCTTGCCCAGGATCATATCAGTATATCATGGGGAGAATAATCTTAAAGTTTAAAGGGTGGTCCATAAGCCCTCAACCCTAAACCCGCGTGTATCACTGGGAGGGACGGGTTTGATATGCAAAAGGACCCAAATATCACATGTTATGTGCGCATGTGAAGGAGCCACGGTGCGTTCTTCTCAAGAAGCTGTCATGCCATTCTATCCTTTATGTTCAAGGGATGGATCCTCTCAGCACACACAAGAGTGGGTAAGATACCATGGCATGGTCCCTGGGCAAACCGTCCAACTGTTTTATAATAATAAAACGAAGAATGAATCAACACCTGAGGAGCAAGAACACACGGCTGCACAAGGCAGAGGATCTAGACTGCTTCGTGCTATGGCTTGTAAGCACGATCATGACATGCCTAGACCGCCCAAGTGAACCATCAGCACCACCCATGCCACTGCCATCGCCATCGGACCCGCACCACCATCACCACCAGCAACACGAGGCAAATTTTGAAACACTGAACGACAGGAGGCTTTGAGGCCATGCGTCTGAAGATCCAGGGCCCCGAGCATCAAGAAACATATTTAGGGATGCCTACGATTCTTCATCCTGTGCTGCCGATGACGCCGGCAGCGACTACGAAAGTAGGGTTAGCCATGGAAATACTATAGTGTCGTCTAGCAGTAGGAGAAGGATCAATAGTCGAAGAACCACCGTAATAGGAGTGGCAGTGGGCGTAGGAGTAAAAGGAACAGGAACTGTTAGTGGCAGCAGTGGTTACACTCACGGATCACTGCAAATTCTGATTATTGCGACCGCCATAAGATCTAATGTAGACCTGTGATGAATAAACACCCTCCCTTTATTAGGATCCCTAGTATAATCCTGATTAAGGGGAGGGGCGTCATTCGTCACGGGTCTTCATTAGGCTTCAGCATTGGTGAAACGATGCTTGCCTGAAGCCATGGACTGTCCTTTAGGAGTAGCCCTGCTTAGATCCTTATTATTATCACTCTTATTACTATCATTACTATTATTACTAATAAATACGACTATTACTGTTTTTATCATAATTAGAAGATTGAAGCAGAAGTAGCCAAACCGGCCGACATTGTGAAGCTGTACATCATGCTCATTCGGCCTCCCCAATCTCAAAAGCCATTGCACGAGCTGGCATCGCATGCTTCAAATCATGGTGGAGGCTGCCGATTCCCAGCACTGCAGCTCTGGGGACAATAGGCTGAGGGCTGTGGTGAAGGGTTCTCGCATCCACAAGCCTGAGGGCAAACGGAGGTCAGCGGCCGCAAGAGGCCCGGCTTGCCATCACACCAGACTGCACCAGTTAGAAAGTCGGAAGGAAACTGAGATAAAGCTGGGCATCCGATCTGCTTCAGAGCTGTAAGCGTCCGGTTTATATCCTGGAAAACTTGCGTATCATCTACATCATTTCCAAAAAAAGTCGACATAGCTGCAGGATACAGATCCCAAAAGGCTCGCCAGCTATCATCCACAGGCGAATCTTCACATGAGCGGTTTTGCAAACTTGCCTGCCCAAGCTCAAGGCAAGCTGAAGAGCACCCAGAACCTTCCACTTTGAACCACGCAATGCTAAACGGATCCACACATCCACAGGTCTCACCGCACACCAGACGCAGCAAGCGGGAATTACCTTTGCCAGACTTTGACTTGGAGGTGTTTTAGAAAACGCGTGCATGAAGGGATTCTGTAGAAAGTTGAATACTACACAAATGGAAAGTTTTGCTTGAATGCACCTCAGCTACCCTCGTTGCAATATCCTCTTAATTCTTCACAGCTTTGCGCGCCGGCGCGTCCGACAGAAGCGGCAGCAGAGTTGAACAGCATCTTGGACAAAGGGTACACAGTTGGATCTGCGTAGAACGGACCATCCGGATGCAGAACTGCAGGTTCCATGCAAAATGGATACAGCCTCGCCTCCTCGCTCATACTGCGCACATAGTCTGACTGAAAGTCATCTGAATTCGAAGCAAAGGATATGACTGAGGAGATCTCTCCAGGAGTTGAGTCCTTAGGCTGGGTAAGTTGCAAATGCCCGAAATCAAAGGATTCTTGGGACTGCTTGTGCACAAACCACCCATTTTCGGGAGGACGGGAGAGGTTGTATTGATTTGCCCAGGTCCTTGTGGGTCTGCACGGCAGACTCGATGACGGAAAGTTCGCCAGAGTCCCGCGAAGGGTTCGTGGCAAGTCCGATGGTTATCTGAGTGTCTGAATTGTAAGCAACCACGAAGGTCTGGATACCTCCACACATCTCAGTTTTGACAGCCAGCATGATCTCGCTCAGGGGCCCCGGCAGGACAAAGTAGCATGTGAGGACCAATGCTAGCAACGCAGCGAAATGCATGCTGGACTCACACTGACTCCGACGGCGGCCATACTTCACCCTCATTGGCTTCTGATTCTGGATCGCATGTTGGATCCTGATAGGCGTCATACCTGCAAACAGAAACTCATCAACGTCCAGAACAGCATTGAGGGCCACTGCGTTCAACATCAACTCCTCGATGGAGGTGGTGCGAGCCAACCAGAGAATCCCACCAACCAGGAGGGAGGAAGCAATGACAACACGCGCAATGTACGTGATCAGAAGTAAGCAGAAACGAAACCACGACATACAAACAAAGCAGTTGTCGCGGAATATGGTTTTGCGAGACTTTGGGATTCTTGCAACTGCCTCCAGCTGCAGCCAGATCTGGCGGAACTCCTGCACAGATTCAGAACGTTTGTTAAGTCCGGGCTCTCCTGGGGTGAGGATCTCGATCCTTTGGAGCAATGTGCTTGCAAAGCAGAATGCTCGGAGCTGTGCTGCTTAGCAAGGTACCCGAAAAGCTTCCCTCTTCTTATGCATCCAGAAGTTTGACTAGTTACTTCCCTTGAACAGACAACCCTCCACAGCACTGTTTTGACGGACTCGCAGACGGATGTTGTTGATGCTTGAAGCATTGGCCAAAAAGCAAAGATCAGTCATGTCTCAAAAACATATCTTTGGGAGCATACGTGGTTAAGCCTTGATTGAGTCTTTGCGTTTCGCACTGGTCTCTAACTTTCCTCGAGTCCTGGTAGAAGTTAGAAGTTCAGCTGCCTAGTAGGATTATTATAGATAACAGCAATTAAAACAAGTATTTTCAGGGAAATTTCAGTGGTGTCCTTGTACACGCACAAGCTCCACAAGATGATGCAAAGCATGCAAAGAAGAATGCCAGGCTGGTATACGGGGAGCTCGAAGTCCTCGTCCTCGATTACCCAGACCCGGGATAATGGAAAAGAAAATGGGAACTGTAGGGACTATAGGGTTTATATAGGGTCATAATACTGGGGCTATATTGGGATAATGGAAAATAAAATGGAAACTATTCTTTAGGGTTTAGGGTTTATACTATATCCCAGACCCCCTACAGGATCCAAAATGGAACCCCTTACACATTTTCTAGGTTCCCCAATTTAGTAATGGAGCCATTTTGGGGGCTCCAATTTTTGGATCCTTTATGGGGTCTGGGTAAGTTTGGATGTTGATGGCTTTGGATTTAGGGCCAGCGGGCTCCGAGAATGATTGAAGCTTTTCGTGCTCATGTAGTCATTGACAGCACTAAGAACCACCCAACCAATCAGAATACAAAACTGAAAGAGCAATACCCTCACTACTAGGAATTGCCGCCAGCACCAAACGGATCAAATCAAGTACTGCAGGGGCCTAAAAGATTACCAACATCATTCTGAGGATTTCTGAAGTCTAATTGAGGCACCCCATAACTATCATGTACAAAAAACGTGGAACCATAATGCTGGTGGTTATTCAGGCTTCTACATTAATCATATACAACCCTTATATAAGTTCCATTTTGTAGCCATGCTTCTCCATGACTATTTGGGTATATAAGCTCCATATAGCCCATAATATTGGTAATCAATTAAGCTTCTACATTACATCAGTAGGGCTTGAACCTGGGCCAAACAGCCCAAGCACTCAACAGCTCTTTTAGGAAAGCACCACTACAGTCCTAAACCCTAAGCCCCTAAACCCCTAAGCCCTAAACCTTGAACCTGAAATGGTTAAAGGTTAAAGGTTTAGAACACTTCAAGCCAGTTTCTGCCAGGCCCAGGAAACTGTTGATGTGCTCCACCAAGGTTGCCTGGTCTGTGGATGACCCCTAAAATAAAAAGGGATTTTTATCAAAATCTAAACAGATTTTTTGAACAAATCTGGTTTTATCAAAATCTGAATAGTTTTTTTCAGGCGCGCACCAAAAGCTCGACAATTTGGGGGCATGCGTGGGGAACCCTTTTTTTGACATATGCTTGTAGGATAGTTTCCAGAAAGAAGGGACCCCCACTATATAATAGGCCCCCAAATACAAAATCCTTATTATAGGACCCACAAGAAGGTACACCTTGTCTTTGGGAAACCCCTATCTGAGCTATAGTCTAATCTCCTAGTATCCCCCGTAGTAGCCACTATAATACTCCCCTATAGAAGCCCCCTTTACGGAGAACTATAGCTCAAATACACCTTAAACACTAAACCATAAAAAGTAGTTCCGTCTTCTTTTCCATTATCCGTCTAATCCCTATACAACCCGGAGACATCCCTACATCATTTCTAGGTAGTCCTATAATTCCTATATGGCCCCTAAGCCACGACTAATTTGCACCATAGCCAGGCCGACCTGGTCTGTTGACAGGATCAAAGCTCCATCGCCCAAGCAAACTCGCGACACGAGACTGGTGTCTGCCAAATCCTAGCTGTGGGTAGTCTTAGGTCAGAAGTATGGGCTCCTGGTTTGGGCCCTCAGGCCTTCCAGCGTTGTAATTCTAGGGACCCTTAAGGGTATATAGTAGGTATTTAAGGATCCCAGGGTTAAGGGCCCATACTGGAGGCCCATGGTTTCAACCTTAGAGATAGGGGCTTCGGGAATCCCTGGGCTTAGGCTTTACGATTTAAGGTTCAGGGTCTCATATAAGGATTATATAGGGATAAATTTGGGTTATATAGGGATGTATAAGGATAATGGACAAGAAAATGGACACTACTATTTTAAGGTTTAGGGGTCTACGGCTTAGGGATTGCGATGCCGGATCTATGACGAGACAACCCCTGTTTCGGGAAACTCGCACTGAGGGTCTGAGGTTGAAGGTGTGTTCCATGTCTTGGGCTTCCGTTTTGTAAAGTTTAGAGTATCAAGAATTGTGTGCCAATGGCGCGGGCTTGGCAGCCACTAGAATATAAAGCCTTTATCCACCAATGCAATTTCATGTGGCTTAGAGTGGGAGGAATAAATACGAAGCCATATCAGACTTGAAGTGCTCAAGTTGTGCAGTGAGAAAGTACCTTAGACCTGTTATTTCCCTATGGGGTGTATATTTCCCCAATAATGGAGAATCAAATGGAAAAGAAAATGGAGAATGAAATGGAAACTGGGATTATATAGGGTAGTTTATAAAGGGTACTGGGTTTAGGGCTGAACTCCCACTTTGCAAACCTCTTGTTAGGCATCATTCGCTTCCCAGACTCCCTGAAGGATCCAAAGCCATGGAGCCCCCTCACGGTTTAGGGTTTAGGGTTTAGGGTTTACTACACTGGGGAACCTAGGGGGTTTTTAAGAGGCTCCATTTTTTGGATCCTTTAGGGGGGTATGGGATGCAGAAAGCCAAGCATTTTTGGTGGGTCGAATCCAATAGACTGCCTCGCCATCCTGGTCATCTGGGGTCATATAGGGATACATTAAGGTTTTATAGGGATATATAGGGATAATGGGAAGGAAAATGGAAACTACTATTTAGGGTTTAGGCATCTTCGGCGGTACCTGCTTGAATACCCAACATGCCAATAAAAGCGGGTACCGCCAAACTCAGTTCATTTCCATTGAAACTAGGTGTTTCCTGTAACAGTAATTTCATATGAGACTATCGGATATTACCTGGCTATAACTTACTTTTAACCCTACTAGTATGAGACTAGGAGGGTATTTCTGGGTTATAACTTAGGCTTTGCCCTACCTGGGATTCGACACATGAGGCTCGAGCTTTAAACTGGAGGCTCCTGGCTGTGGCTTCAGCTCCGGAACCCGCAAGGCTTAAGTAAACTTCATCCGTACAGGTTAGGGATTTCTAACAAGTAGTCATGGGTTCCCCCACTACCCTCTCTATACTACCCCCTAGGCTCTCCCCTTTGTCGAGGTTACTTGAAGCTTAATTACGGCTAATTAAAGGGGAACCTTGAAAAGGGTAGTACGAGGGGGTGGGGGGTACGAGGGGAACCCATGAAGTAGGGGTCCCTTTTCAAGAGTCCTTGTATACAGTAAGGAATACAGTATACTTGGGGGCAAGAGGCCCTTTTTTGGAGACGCAGCTACACAGGGAACGTGCCAATTGTTCGTAACATGATCAAGACATTTCCTCTAATTTCCCCGCACCGCTGGTAGAAATTAGTATGTCAGCTGGCTATTAGGATTAGAGATAACAGAAACTAAAGGTTATTTTCAGGGAACTTCCAGTTTCTACACAGTACCAAACCAAAGGGTTCGAGTCTTCTACTCCATGAGAATGTAGAGCCTGCACGAAGCACTGGGAAAGCTTTAGGTTTTGATAAGTATTGCTCAATCCTGAACCTTAACGCATGAAAATTCAAATCCAAGAACTGAATCAAGGCGTGTAGTTGAACTGCTCCAAGGTTCTATATACTTGTGGTCATGTGCAACGCTGGTCCGCCAAATTTTGGCGATGTCGATCTCAGGGCCATACATTCAAGACCAAGCGGGCTTCTACAATGGTTGCCATGCAGAGGCCCGTATGGCTTTGGATACTTTCGAGGCTTTAACATTCAGACTGTAATAGTAGGGCTTTTCAAAGGGCTCACTCCAGAAAAGTGCACCCAAAAACACGGGACCTTCAAGGCATTATTAAGGCTAATACAGGACACCTAATTCGGCGTTGTGGCGCATTCCGGTTAGGAGTCCCTAAGAATTCTTTTTAAGGCATCCCTGGGACCTGCTTGATGCTAGACTCTTAGACTGACTAGACTCTTCCATCTCCTGATATAAGAAAAGGATTTTGGTAGCCCCAACCCCCCAAATTAGGACCCCATAACTACCACATGATGGCTAGAGGATCCTAATTTTGGGAGTTGGGGTTACCAAAACCCCTTTATTTGCGGTTGGGGTTACCAAAACCCCATTATTACTGCACGAGTCTGAGGTAAACAATTGGCCTCCAACACTAAGGACAAGGGATCATGCCACTCTATCTGGACTATGCGAAAGGCATGACCATGACAAATCATGGCTAGGGATGCTTTACGTTAGGGGTGGAGCTTTTGAGTTTTTTCTTCGGGATGAGGGTTGGGGGGTTCGGGCTTCAGAAGCTTACAAATTCAAGAAGCATGTGCCTTGTATCTACTAGGGGGTAGCATCTTTTGCTTGGGCAGGCGCTGACAAGGCTTGCTCGGCACCCTACAGAAAGAGATTGCATGAGGCGTAATAGTTGAAGGTACACCCTTTCGCAGAAACCTGCTCCTGAAACCCAATCCCTGAAATTCCTGATCACCAATGGCCTTGCTCTCAAATCCTTCACCAATGAAGGAATCCTCAGTCTTGGCTGGGTTCCGAGAAGTGCGGATCGTGGGTTGTTTGCTGGTGCTTCAGGTGGGTATTTCCAAAGGGGACCCCTAAGTTTGGGATCGAAATGCCAGGCGATCTCCTATGTAAGTAAGTTCTCGAGCATGGAAATGCAAAACAGACAGATTCAGGAGAGGAGCTTCCCGTGTAGTAGGTGGGGATGTTCTTGCCAGGCAGACCATATCTAGATGGACAACATCTTCCGATGGCCGTCGTTCTTAAAGGTTCCATGGCAGTAACAATGAAAACCTCCTTTTTATGTGCCGGGCAGCAGTGTAGATGACCAAGGAGAAGGCAGCTTGCATACCCAAGTTGAGGAGAACAAGAGCTCCAGAAAAGAGCCTCACACTTCAGGATGGACCAGGACCCCTGATTCCTACACAGGGGCTTAAGGAAATCGCGAAGGCGCAACGTGAAGAGGCTAACAAGGGATTACTTAAATCTGAGTTATCTCTCAGGACTACAAAACGTTGGCCGAAGTCTGGACTCAATTTGAGGTCACTCACGACATGTCTTTCCTGGTTTGTTGGGCTTCAGCATTTAAAAGCACGCAATATGCTGTTCAAAACCTTCAAAGCAGAATGGACTGGCCGTTGAAATCGGCGACCTGAACCAATATCTACA